AGATGTGGAAAGCTCATGTTATATATACTGTGCGCACTCTTCTACATTATGTCGATTCACTATTACGTTATGCGAACACGGGTATCCTCGGCATTTAAATGAGCATAACGTATTTTCCGCGTTCCGCAGGCACTACAAATGGCGGGAAAGAAAACAGTCGTAGAAGAAATTCTCGGCAATTTGGGAATGGAATATTTAAATGAAAACGTAAAGCAACAAATGATTGACAATCTTGAAATGTGCAGCGCAAGGCCTTCACATTGCGACTGTGAATTAAAATCAGGTCGAATTTCAATATTCTTTACTTTAATCTGATTATTAAATAAATCAAATATTATGTGTCGCGCAGCATTTATTTTTCATTTTTAATTGTTTTTTTAATAGAAGATTTAAACTTTTTATCGTATTAAGAACATTGTCATATGTTTTGTTTTTGTTTTTTTTTTTTTTTTATCAGTCTCTACCTCTCCTTTTTATTTTAAAAAGTGATAACACACCGTATAACAAACGTGCAATGGTGGGTTGGGGGTTAGGGGCAGGAATCCCGTCCTTCCATCATTAGTGACCAAAATATACATAAGATTAATAAATTTATTGGTTTTACTTTGTAAGACATTGCATAAGATTAGCTGAATTAAGTTGAAACTATTTTTTTTATAAAACTATAAAGACTAAGAGCTTCTTCCCCCCTTCCCACTTGGTCTCCAACCGTACACCGCCCCCTTCCTTGTTCAGCATTCCCATATCCGCCATTGATATGTGCCCATGCATGCTTGCTAAGGCATATTCAACTGATTTAGACTGATATATAGATTTTTGTAATAGAATTCTGGCACTGGAATGGTGAAAAAATTACTAATTCCAGTGACGTAGCATCTTCTTTGAAAGGGGAGGTCAGCCAGAAAAAGCGGGGATGGGGCTGTGCTTTCCATGAACATAACATTTTCTAAAGTTTAGGTATATGGGAAAAAGGGGGGGGTGCTGATATTATATTTGCCTGAAATTCGTCCTAAGCAATGAGGAGCCCCCCTTCTCTTACCAGTCATTAAAGCACGGTCGTCAACATTCATTATATACCAGATATACAGCTTTGAGATAATGTAAATGTATTTTTACATCAGGTACTGAACTTTTGGAATCAGCATGATAAAGAGTTAACACAATATAAAGATATTTTAAGATCACATAAGAAAGAGTTGACATAACGTAAGTATATATCCACATCACGGAATGGAGTTTGGACATAATGTGATAAAGTATTGATATAATATAAAGATATGTTCACATAATGTCATACACTTTTTACACCACGTAATAAATCACTGACATGAAGGTAAGATGTGTTCACCTAAAATCATGATGTTCCCGACGTAAAATAAAGATAAATCCGTATGACGTAATAATGCTTTGATATAATAGAAATATGCACTCTCAAAAAGGGATGGAATTTTGACTTCATGTTATGATAAGTTTAATTATAAAATACAATTTGCTTGACGTAATGCAATTTTGACCTCGCATATTAAAGAAATGAAATGATGTTAAGAAACATTCATTTCACGTAATAAAGTTTTAACACAATGTAAACACATAATCACTTCACATAATGGATATTTTATTCCAAGTTATGAAGTGCATGCTGACATAATGAAAGAATGTATTTACTTCATGTAATGCAGCATTGACATGATGTCAAGATATTTTCACATCATATCATAAAAAATGAAAAAAGTAAAGAGATGTTCACATCACGTAATGATAAATTGACATAATAAATGCATAGTTGTATGCTATAAGGCAGTGATGGCGTTCCATAAATCTTGAATCGCGGTATATGTTAACAGAGCTGTGCGTAATTATAAAGGATCGCCTGTGTGTAAAACAATCCGAATGTATTTAAAATTTTTAAATAACATTTCAGAAACAGGTTTTACATGCATTACTTTGCAATGGACAGCCTAATGTGAACAAAACCAGCGAACCGTTTATTTTGTTTACCTTTAAATTCATCTAACTCTTTACAATCTAGCCATAAAGTTTAAACTGAAAAATTTTAAATCAATCAAAAATGCACTATAAACGTTGTAAATTGTTTTGCTTTTCATCCTAATACATTGTTTTTTAAAAAGTTTTTGTTGAACTGTTTACTTTGTACTTCTAGCGTCAATATCCGCTTTACAAATGAGAATCGTAATATTGGAAAGAAACAGAAATCATAGAATTAATATGTAAAAAAAAAGTCAAGCAGTAACAAAAACACTGTAAGCAATTATATATAAAAAATCTTCCTGCGATCGTATTGATAGCGTGAAAAAGAAATATAACGAAATGAAAATTGTATTTTAAATAGGTTTAATAAATGTTACCAGTTTTCTCAAATTTATAAAACGTAAATGAGAAAAAAAAGTTAGATACAGATGTACAGTTGAGATATGTTTATAACAAAATTACTGCACTTACTTAATTCTCACAGTCTTTTTATCAGGTTGATAAGTTATTATTAGTGTGGCTATCCGTTGGTCTTTGCAGATTTTCCGAAAACTGTTTTGTATTATCCAATCTAAGCTATATGAAGAAGTAAATTATATTTTTTTAAGAATAGATATGAGTCACCCCATACATGTATCCTAGATATCGACTTTTCATTCGGCTCACCTCGGCTGACTACTGTACTCTTGACTACATCAAATGTAATCGGCCGAGGTGTGCCGAGCGATCGACTTTTATTTTAAAACGTAAATTTTAAATGTGTTTGGAAGACTTTTATTTAAAAAATGCACTTGGTATGGAATTTGTGTATAGTTAATGATTTTATGATGAGCAATAACAAACACTGCACATATCTGTGCATGCAAGACCATATAGATGTTTGGTTTCAAGATAGTGTATTTTGTGTCTCGATATCCTCATCAGAATAAAAAAAATCGTTGTAGTTTGCACGTATTTAAAATGTCATATTTCATTACTGTTTAAAAAAAAAAATAAAGGTATGACACTTGTCATTTTGGATTTTTGGGGGTGTCTCGATTCAGACTTGATTTTAATCAATATCTACACCTGACCTCTCTAAGGACTAGATATTCCTTTTAACCTCGGAGAGGTTCTGCAAGAGACAGAGAGAGAGAGAAAAAAATAATAATAATAAAAAAACGTTCATAAAACAGGGTTCAGAGGAACTTAGATACTTAGTGATGAATTTGTTAGCAACTTTTGATGAGATTTTTATTCATTTTACTTGCTGCAATAATGTAGCCCTCTCCAACTTTTTTTATCTGATATTTTCTGGAGAGGGCTAAAATATATAATTCCACAGCATCTTTGTAATGATGCAAAAATATTTTTCTTAAATACTGGCGACTGCAGGCAGAATAAATTGTTTTTACATTCCACTTACTTCTAATCAAACGAAATTTTTATTCACTGTCGATATCATACTCGTTAATCGCGAAAATCATGTAAAATAAATCTGTGTGTTTCAAAATCGATCAATACAGCCGCCATGACAGTTCACGCGTGACGTCATGAGAACTCAACAAAACAAATAATATATATAAAAAACCAATTAAATAAATAAATAATTGTGATGAATAGTAACACAAAACATCGATAAATAAAATCATTCCATTTGTCACTTTTTTTAAATAGCGATATTTAAGCTTAAAATAAGGTAATTCTAAAGAAATCCGCTACCTATAGATCATTTATCTCATTGGCTCTTCCAAAATAAAATCTGTCAAGGTCAGTAAACATGGCGCGGATATATAAGTTATGATGGTGACATACACGAAAAATACGGATATTTGAATTGTTCTGTATATTTTTGGATCGCTTTATCATCCAAAGTCAGTTAAAGTGCCCCAAAAAGTATCAAAAAACGGCTGAGGATTTTCAACTTGGGATACAAAGGAAATGTTTTAATTCTGATAGAACAATATTCGAATGATCAGAAAACACATATGATAGCTCTTGAAAGGGGGTATTATATTCTGCACACATATGGAACATATCCAATGTAATTTTTGCAGTGAATTACGTTATTTCTTATGATGTTATTAAAAATGAAAAATAATTATTACGAAAGCATTCAAAATGGTGTTTCAAGTAGTCGTATTTGATAGAGATAAAATAATTATCCAATTAAAAACCATAGTGCAATTAAAAATTTTCAATATGTTAAAAATTATTCCATATTTACATTTAATTAATCTAAGAAAAAAAAGAATATGGATTTTGAGAATATGGCATCTTATTTTTTCTTTGATTAGACTCGCATACACAAATTAACAAAAGAGTTTGTTTGTACTTGCATGAGTATACCTTTTACAAAATGACTCTCAAGTTTTTGCACTTTGAAAGTCAATGTAAACGTTTATTTTGAGACAGAAACAAACTGTCTTCTTTGTAACGTAATTCACATTCATCACTAAAATCAAAACTAATGATTGTTATTTGTTAAACAACTGCTTTGTTACAAATTAGAATACAGAAAATGAATATTAATATTGCAATATCTTTGCAATAGGCATCATAATTATATATATCTAGATTGTTATCATTGTAAAACATCAAATAAAGTCATATTTCACACACCTTGATACATGTCAGATGAAATAAAAAGCTGTGTATTCCGAAAGTGCAAAATAACTACTTATTACAGATAATCTAAACATTATATCTACACGATTTATGGCATCTCACTCAAGTCTGGTGGGATTAAGCATTTAATTATATTTCAAAATCAATATGTAAATAAAACAAACAATGTAACGTAATTCACATACCAGACTGTAAGTATCAATATTGAATTAAAAATTAAAAGTAAGGAGAATTTTCTTAATTAAGTGTGTTCTATGTAGTTCTTTGAACAAATTATGGACTTTCTTTAGACCCTTTTACTATTGAAAAGATCTGTTTATTTCTGTATTGAGATGTGGTTGATTTTTAGGCAAATTATGAAATGGGTAGATAATACTTTTTCTTACACGTTAGACCTCTTTTACCAGGTAGTTATCTCCTTCTTTGGCCTTTTTCCACCACCGAAATTTCTTTTGAGGCTCAGCATTACTTATTCTAGTCATTATCTAAGATTAAAACTGTATTTATGTAATATGTGAATTACGTTACACTGTTGTGGATTACGTTACACTATTATACAGACCTTGTCTGAATTAAACGCCGAGCGAATCAATGTTTTATATTTATAATATCTTAGTAGAACATGTATCCTTCATTTTCAAAAGTGAAATTCCAATAGCAGCTATAACGATGGAATAGTTTTATTCGTTTAAAAGTCAAATTTTCAGTTTTAAAATAATTTTTAACACCATTGCATTAGTCAAAACCGTTCCCACCTGTAAACTTCCTTTCTACTAGTTCCCATATGATAAGCGATGACATTGAATTAAGATTCATGGTAATTTTGAACCTAGTTAGGATTTTTTTACAACAAAAAGAAAATTGATCATAACGTAATTCACTGTAACGTAGTTCACGGACTTAACCTTTAATTCAAATATGAAACTGATTACGACAGTTTACGGCAATATCTATGTGGTAATTTATAATGGGCATAAGTGTGTATCTCAGCCAGGATATTTGAAGTTCTTAGCATTTAGGAACTGTGCGCAAGATCGCGTAACGTAATTCACAATTAAATGCACAAATTGAAAGTTTTGAAAATTCGTGAATTTTTTGACACAAATGTTATCATTTGCCTGTAAATCATTATTCTTTTTTTTTATTTTGATAACTTGATGATCAATTTTATCCATGTAACATAACTTTTTCTGTCAATTACAATTCCGTTAAAGCTGTTAGAAAATCGTAACGTAATCCACTTGCATTGAATGGGACATTCATATTTCGCAGAGCAAAAAATTGTTTCGGCTATCGCAGAGAAATTTTAAGTAAAAATGTGTTGTTTATCCCTTTATTGTTAAGAATTACAATATTTAGCCTTCTTTATTGGTATAAGTAAATTATTTTTTCAAACCTGAATACAACCACCCTTGTTTGTGACATCCTGTTTTGATCAAATTAGGGTTAGAAATCCTTTACTTTTGAAAAGTAAACGGGATCAATGCATCGTAATATCAATATTTTCAAATCGATCATCACTTAACATAACATTTAACCCCCCAAACAACTAAAGATGTGCGGTTATGTCTTCAAAAATCGTTTGTGACATCAAAAACTAATTTTGGGGCACTTTAACTGACTTTGGATGTTTAAATGTCTGATATAACTACATTTTGGAAGTCCAGGTTAAAATATGAAATAAAATAGCTGTTTACGGACAATTTGAGCCGAAATCCGTAAGAGAGTGACCCCCCCCCCCTAAAAAAAAATCGGAGAGGGCTACCTTATTGCAGCTACAATGTAGCATTTTACGAGTTCTACTCAGGCACTAGAAGTGATCTGAACACATTGTTACTGTTTATTATCATATCTCTACTGATTTTTCCCTGTATAAAAATTAGATACTAGAAGTAAAATGTGTTATTTCCTAGAAATCAGTTTAAATGGACTAATCCTTATGCGTTACTAAAGTAAGCCCTGCTTTGAATGATGATTCCCGGATACCCGTAATCCTCTAGATTTTATTTTTGTATCTGTATAATATGTAATTTAGATTAACCCCTGTGTGTTAGTCAACCAAGCTTATCCCAGCTCCGAAACTAAATTCCCAGTCATTCATAATCCTCTTTTTTTTTACTTTTGCATCGGTAAAATAAAACAGTTAAAAGTATATCATTGATCAATGAGGGAGAAAACAAGTTTCCAGTTTCCCTCGACCAGGACTATTTCCCTCAGCTGCGCCTTTGGAAATAGTCCTGGCCTTGGGGAACTAGAATCTCGTTAATTCTCTATTTACTCAGGTATAAGAAGAGACCTAAACTTGATAAATGTATTTTTAATTCCTTACATTATTACCAACCAATACATGGTGCATTGTATTGAGTTTTATTCAGAAATAAGATTTGATTTGAACTTATTTTATTATGTAACAAATACATAAATAGATTGGGAAGCAGGTATAGCCTTACATAAACCCTCTCCATATTGAGAAATTAGTACATGTATGAGACATTAATTTTGACCCTTTAAAACAGTTTTTTGCAATAATTGTTGATACTTGGCGTATTGTACTGAGAAATTAATATTATAATAACTTTTTGTCCCTATACAAATAGTTGTTTGCTATAATCTCTTACATTTTATATTCATACTCTCTAATTAAGTGTAAAAATAAAATGTTCAATCTAAATTCAAGACTGAAGGACAGATGATACAAACAAAAAATGGATGTTTGGATTGGTATATTTTGGCCTAATTTCCTTGGAAATGATGCAAATAATAAATTTCTAGAAAATAAAGAAATTGTAAACCTTCTGTGATGATCAAAAGTATGACCTGAAACCATCCTTATTAATCT